CCTTTGGAAGCCTAACAGCTAAACTGCAGGGAGATGGAGAGTGAAGAAACATTGAGAAAATAGAGATCCAGTTGGATTCTCTTTCTTTTAGCTCTGAAGTTATATGAGCCTCCGATACCTGTAGATACACTGATACTGCTAACACTAATTTTTAAATCTTAATGCCTTCTAATACTACCTATTATTTTTTGACCACCTACTACATGTTAGGTATTGTGCCATGTGTTTCACATATATTAACTCATCTTATGCTCATGACTCTGTGAGGTGGTATTTTAAGAAATAACAAGAAACCCCCAAACCAAGACTTCGCATCATAGACAACTTGTCCAAACTGAATCAGCTAGTAGGTATTAGAGTTAGGATGTAAAGTCAGGGGACCCATGCCCTTTCTGGTATGCTACACTGCCTCCATTTGCATTGCAATATAAATTTTAGTATCAGTTTGACCATTTCACACACACATATACAGAGACACAAACCAAGTTGGGATTTTGATTGGGATTGCACTGAATTTATAGATTAATTTGGGGAGAACCGTCATCTTATATCAATGCTATTGACTGTTCCAAACATGAATTGATCTTTTCCTCCCTTTATTTAAGTCTTCTTTAATTTTCCTAGTAAGATTTTGTGGTTTTCATCGTGAAGCAGCAATTGATTCACCACAGGCCCAATGAGGCAGGGGACTTCCGGGGGTCAGAATACTAAGACTTGATGGATAAGAAGTATAATAAGGGAACTGCAAAAATGTGGGCAGAAAAAAATGATTAAAGGTCCCACCAAGTAAAGCAACAATTTCAAGAATTTTAAAGTGGCCAGCAATAACGGGGTATATAACGTATTGTAAGATGCAGACAGCAAATGGCCTTGTGCCCTGCCAGCAACAGGGATGCCAGGAACTCTGGAGAGGATTTGCATAATGTAACCTACTGTAGACTGTTGACTCAGCACCAATTTTTCATGAGGAGGAGACTGTGACTGTTAACTGAGGCACGATGTTTGTCATCTTTAAAAGTGAAGAGCAGGTTAGGCTGAACCCAGGCCAGGATTGCCTTCTGGGCTCTCCTCTCCCTCTTCCATTTCTGTAACCTTCTCCAACCTGCTGGCACTACCTCCTCGGCACCCTCCCATTTCCTCACAGCCTTCCTCTTGCCACGCACAGTTAGACCTGCCTTATCCTATACTTCTCCATAGCTCCATACGTGGACCCCCCCAACTCTCCCCCCTCCCCATCTCCTCCATTTATATTTAGGGTATTCAAATGTTCAGAGAAAGAGAGTGGATAGAGGATCCACTTAGTATTAAAGTGTATTAAATGACAGATAGCTAGGTAGCTATTTCTCAAATTAGGGTCCAAAGACCTAATCCTAGAGGTTTGAGAGGTCCACAGGAATTTGGATAGTAATAATTTATTAAGCACTTACATGTTCCAGGAGCTGTTTGAAATACTTTACATGTATTTAGTTTCACTATAACCCTCTAAAGCAGATGCCCTTATGTCCATTTAACAGATGAGCAAACTTAGCAACACGCCCTTATCCCCATCAAAGAGATGAGCAGTCATGGAAAGGTTGAGTTATTAGCTCAAGGTTATACATCTAGTAAACGGTAGAGTGGGGACTCAAACCTAGGCAGTCTGGCTCCAGAGCTAATGATCTCAACCACTTTGCAATGCTGTCATCTGGGGCTTGACTGGGACTAGGTGGTCCAAGATGGCCTCACGCATGTGCCTGGTAGTTAGCTGCAGCTATTGGCTGTCGCCTCCTCCTTCATGTGGCCTTTCTAGCAGGATACTCCGGACCTTTTTATGTGGCAGCCAAATTCCAAGATTGTACCATAAGTCATGGAACAGATAGGCTTTTTTTTTTTCCCAAAACCACGACATGATTATATTTTAATACAAAACCAAAATACAAAACACCATAATAAATTGATGGCAATAAAATATGGCATTTCATTTGCATTGCATGATAAATGGTTAACATCCTTTCATAAATGAGTTGTTAGAAACCAGTAACAAAGACATTGATATACCAAGCGAAATGATTAAAAAAAAAGAAGAAAATGAAATAACACAAGTGACTAGTAAGGATTAAGCATATATGTAGATAGGCTTATAGACCAAATTAAGATGCTTGAATCACATTGTTTATGTGACAGCTTTAAAACATGTCCCCAGGGCTTCCCTGGTGGCACAGTGGTTGAGAATCTGCCTGCTAATGCAAGGGACACGGGTTCGAGCCCTGGTCTGGGAGGATCCCACATGCCGCAGAGCAACTGGGCCCGTGAGCCACAACTACTGAGCCTGCGCGTCTGGAGCCTGTACTCCGCAACAAGAGAGGCCGCAATAGTGAGAGGCCTGCGCACCGCGATGAAGAGTGGCCCCCGCTTGCCACAACTAAAGAAAGCCCTCGCACAGAAATGAAGACGCAACACAGCAAAAATAAATAAATTAATAAACTCCTACCCCCAACATATTAAAACAAAACAAAACACGTCCCCAAATTCTTTGCCACTGTTTCCATTGACAGGTGGAGGTCCATATCCCCTTCTCTTTTATATGGGGTGGTCTTAGTGGCTTGCTGGTAGCCAGCAGAATACAGTGGAAGTGATGCTCCATTACTTCTTAGGATAAGTCATTAAAGGCCATGAACCTTAGGATAAGTCATTAAAGGCCATGAACCTGAACACTCGCTCTCAGGGAAGCCAGCTGCCATGTGAGAAGTCTGACATGTTGGAGGAGGTGTATGAAGGCACTCTGGTTCACAGTCCCAGCTGAGCTTCCAGCCAACCAACAGCCAGCCTCAACTGTCAGCCACATGAGTGTGCCATCTTGGATGTCCAGCCTAGATGAACCTTTAAACGACTGCAGCTACAGTGACATCCGATCAGAGACACCAACACAGAACTGCCCAAGCAAGCCCTTCCTGAATTTCTATTTCCTGAATTTCTATTTCTATTTCTACAAAATCATGAGCAAAATAAACTGGCTATTTAAGCCACTAAGTTTGATTTAACATGTTCACTTAAAGAGCAGCAACAGTTTATCAACCAATTTAAAACAGAATGAGAAGCAAGGAGAAAGAAAAGGAGTAGATAAACAAGCTTAGGATAGGGTATAAGCACAGTGGAAGGACCATAGCACTTAAAACCATAGATGGCATGGTTTTAAGGACCGGAGTGGAGGGTAAGCGAGGGGTTTTGGCAGACTGAACAGGTCTGGAATCGACATACATCTGACATACATCTGAGTGATACAGAAGCGTGTCTGGTCATAATTGTAGCTGGCCATTAGCTGCCTGAGCAGCTGGGGATTTAGCTGCTTTTCTTGTGCAGAGACTACATGAGGCCACAGTGGGGCTATAATGGATATCACTAGTTGGTGGTCAATTTAGGAATGACACGGTTGTCAGTTGAGAGGTTGTATGATTCATGCCTTACTAATATTTAAAGTTTACTTGGTCTATCTCCTTCTATCTGAAGTAGCACTTTCATTTGTTCCATCCTTTTTGTCTATGTTCAACACATATCCATTTACTCTGCGTGTAACATGTCTCATAAGCAAATTGTGTCTACATTTTTGTTTCTCTTATTTTCTATAGCAGGACTGAATATTCATAAAGCAAACACATTACAGCAAGCCCCAAGGAACAAGCACTTAGAGCACGGCTGTGATGTCCCACTTATTGGCTAAAGCAAGTCACGTGGCCGAGCCCACAGTCATGTGCGACAGGTCTACACAAGGGAGTGGATACCATAAGGCATGATTATTGGAACCACTACTGAAACAATCTAACACTAACACATAGCTAGGAAGTGGTTGATCCAGTTATAAAATTTTCAGCAATCTGTTTCTGGAACCCAAACACAAAACTGGTGTCCTGGAGACTGCTGGGAATTCCTACTCAAGGGCTTTTTCAAACCCCTCTTCCCAGGTCCCAGCCCAAGCCCAATGAGTCAGAATCTCTTGGGGGTAAAAGGGATATGGGGGGGGGGTAGTGGTGGTAGAAATCCCAAGAATTTAAATAACTCTGTAGAAGATTCCAACCCACACTGGGAGGTGTAGGGGGTTTCAAAGACAAGAAAATCTCTACCCTCAAAGAGCTTCCATTTTCCACAGAGAAAATTCTTGTCATTATTACACTAGAGGCACTGCCCTGAAATTTAAAAATTTAAAAAACTGCTCTCCATGTTTAAGTTAGAGCAGTGGTTCTCAAATTTTGTGTGCATCAGTATTAACTGGAGGGCTTGTTAAAACGCAGACAGGGGGCTTCCCTGGTGGCGCAGTGGTTGAGACTCCGCCTGCCGATGCAGGGGACGCGGGTTCGTGCCCCGGTCCGAGAGGATCCCACATGCCGCGGAGCGGCTAGGCCCGTGAGCCATGGCCGCTGAGCCTGCGCGTCCAGAGCCTGTGCTCTGCAACGGGAGAGGCCGCAACAGCGAGAAGCCCGCATACCGCAAAGGAAAAAGGAAAAAAAAAACCCCAAAAAAACCGCAGACAGGGACCAACCCCCAGTTTCAGATTCAGGAAGTCTCTGGTGGAGCACACAAATTGTCATGTCTCACAAGCTCTGCTGTCCAGGGACCACACTTGGAGAACCACTGGGTTACAGCAGTAGGAGGATTTAGTGATACCGTTCCTCCCTTGACGCGCATTTATATATTGCACTTACATTCTTATAGCACATCTACTGTATACAAGGTCTCGGGCTGGGTGCGGCAGTGGGTATGATAAGGATAGGATTTAGATCTTGATTACACTTGAGCAGATTTAGTCTCTAAGTGGATCTATTCTCTAAGAAGACAGGAAGCCTAAGTGCCTTCAGACAGGTTCAGATAAAGCAGAGATCTCCTCCCTTAGCAAGAGATAAATTAAAGCTTGGAATAGCAGACCCTATGAACTGGGGCCTTGAAAGATGCCTAGGACACGTGGAAATGGTGGAGGATCGCAGAATTCTTTCCACCTTGGCACAGAGAAAAAAACCAAGCAAACAAACCTGGACAACCACCTGGAAAAGGTCTGTGACATTCTTGCCTCAGGCTCCAATGTCTCTAAGCTGCTTGCATCAGAACGGGGAAGGGTGTTCTCAGTGTCAAGGTCTCTGTCTCAGACTCTTCTTGGGAAGCGGGAGAACTGGCCTAGCCCTCCCTCTGGGGCTCCCAGAGCGGGTGTCTCGGAGACTCGGTTGTCTGGCCGAAGTCTGGGTGTGCGCGGACTTGGCGAAGGGCGCGGCCTGGGCGCTTCAATGTTCCAAAGCCTGAGCAGGGCGCTGTGGCCGGGCCCGTGACGAGCGAGAGCGCCTACACGCTGGAGCATCGTTCAGAACCAGCCTCAGATTCAGGCACGGCGCTAGGGGGGGGCCGGGTGGCAGCCGTACTACTCAGCCAACCGGAGGCCGGCGCAAGGGGCAAGGTCCCTCTCTTTCTCCACCTTCATGCTTAGGAGGGGGTGGGGACACGCGTGCACGCTCTTCAGCCCGGAGAAAGCGCGGCCCGCGAGACTGCACAATGCGCCTGCGTGGCCCCGCCTCACCCACCCCGCCTCTTTTCTTCGTCCCGCCCTGTTACCCCCTTATATTGCCGCTAGGGGTAGCGGCGGCGGCTGTGGTCTGAGAGCGTGGCTGCTTTGAGGGCGCGGAAGCCGTACGGTGTGGGGACTAGGGCTGGCAAGAGGGTGGGAAAACCGGCGAGAGAGGAGGGCGGTGCCGGGGAAGGGCGGCGCGTGGCTGACTCATCCCTCTGGAAGATCAGACTGACAGACACAAACCCTTGCCGAACTCGCCCGCCCGCGCCGCTCCTCTGGTTGGGAGGCGCCCGCCCGCACCGCCCGCCCGCCTTCTCCGGGAGCGCTCTCCCGGCCCGGCAGCCTCAGAGAAAGTTTTTGTCGTCTGGAGGGACCGGAGGCGCCGCGAGCCTTTGGGAAGGGAAGGAGGACTGAAGAGGAGGCTCCAGCCGCGCGGGCCCGGCGAGTGCATGGTTCCCGGCGCCTCGGCTGCCTGTCAGGAGGACATCGGGGCGGGGTCGGGCTGAGCCCAGCTCCTTCTTCCCGCGGGTTCGCCAAAAATCGCCCTCCCGGACTGCCGCGGGGCGTCCCCGCTCCTCAGCCCGCCATGTCCCGGCTGCTGCCGCTGCTGAGGAGCCGGACCGCGCACAGCCTGAGGCCGGGCCCGGCCGCCGCGCCCCGCCCGCCGTCCTGGTGCTGCTGCGGGCGGGGGCTGCTGGCGCTCGCGGCCCCGGGCGGCCCCCGGGAGCTGGGCACCCACCCCAAGAAGGAGCCCATGGAGGCGCTGAACACGGCGCAGGGCGCGCGCGACTTCATCTACAGCCTGCACTCCAGCGAGAGGAGCTGCCTGCTCAAGGAGCTGCACCGCTTCGAGTCCATTGCCATCGCCCAAGGTAAGGGGGCCGCGAGGGGGCGAGCCGGGGACGGAGGGGCGGGTGCCCAGAGCCCTCCCCTACCTCGCCTGCGCCCCGGCCGCCCCTCGGCCTGGGCCCCTCGCCGCCGGCCCCCTCGCCCGCTTGGCCTCGCGCCTGGGACGTCCGGGGGGGCGGGGGAACTTTGCGCCTCCTGAGTGTCCCCGGGGCAGTAGGACAGGCGCGGATCGTGCCAGGCAGCCAGGGCCAACGCTTGGCTGGTTCCTCCCCAGCCTCACAGTTGGAGCTTCAGCCCCAGTTACCAACCGCCGTTGATTTGATTTTGTTTAGATTTGCTGTGCCCCCCGTCCCCCAGCCCTGCTGTCCCCCTGTAGTCCTTGCTGCTTACTTGTGAACGTGCAGCCATGCCGGTGGCCTGCGGTGCCTCCTTCCAAAGCGCTACAAAGCCGAGAGGCAGGGGGACACTTCGCTAAATGGTTATCAAACGAAGATGTGTCAGGGTCCGAAAGAAGGGATGTTGGTTCGTTAAGGCAGAGGTGTTCTCAGCGGCTTGTTTTCGTACACCTCCGGTTGGATTCATTTAAGCAGCCGAAGGAAACATTTTCCTGGGAAACTGAAAGCGTGGATCAGACCAGCAACCGCAGATGCATACTTGCAAGCCCATCACAGGCTTGGTGCTGCCCAAGTTAGACTCCCGTTTTTGTTGTGCCCCCAGAGGAGGAAAGAATGCAGTAGTTAAGAAGGTATTTTTCTGGAAATCTGTGGCTCTGCAATAAAAAGCGGACTTCTGCTCAAAAATAATTTGGAATGGTGAAAGCCAAGCCATTTTTAAGCTAACCTGTTAAAGGAGGATATTTTTCAAACCGGTGCAGCATGCTGGTATGTCAGAATGTGAGTCCAAGTGAAAAAGCTAAAAAGTCAGAAAATCAGAAGGATGAAAGGGGCCAATGAGCAAATCATTCAGTCTTAAGATACTTTAGCCATTTAACTACCGTGATACAGACAGAATACATTGCTGCTGTTTTATGTTATACATTCTGGTGTGTTGGAAAGTGGTTTTTGTTTTTTTGTTGTTTGTTTGTTTTAAGTTTACTCCTCCCCTCCCTCAAGGTTGGTAGGTACATAAGCATTCTATAGGTTCCGTAAGTTAAGAGCACATTTATTTGGAGCAAGGCATTTGATCTTCCACAGGCACTTGAAAGCGCTTCTTTGGTCTGTATTCAGGAATGGAGGAGAGAATTGTCTACCTCATAAGCAGGACTTTTCTACACTACTTCTTTAGAAACTTTTTATTAGTTGTGCCTTTTAACTGCTTTTTTTACCTCCGTTCAGGGAATTGTGGACCAATTTATGGTATTGGATGATTCCAGACATTGTCTACCCACAGTGCTTCTATAGGAACAATGTAATATCACAATCAATTCGGTTACTAAATAAAATGTAATGATATTACATGAAGTCATAATCAGATACTAGCATATTTGTGAGCTATGTGTGCACTCAGTGTGTGGTTTTAAAATATTCACTTCTGAAAATGTGACCCTTGGAAAATTATAAAGACATTCACACTAGATCATTAGTTTTAGGAATCTTTCTCCATGGGTAAGAATGTTTGAACACACATTTGGCCTTTTCTAAGTAATTTCTTGGAAATTCTGCATTAACATTGTTACAAGATTGGAGGGCCTTATTAATATGATTTTATGACAGTGCATGAAAAGCATGTCCTGTGATACAAATGGATAAATTTTGCCTCATACCTTATTATTTTAGCACATGCCAGTAGGAATGCTACATTTTCCAGTGAAAATGGAAAATGTATTTTAAAATTTAACATGGTTTTAAATATTCTGGAAAGGACCTATAAACTTCAGTCAATGGAGATCAGTTAGCATCAATTAAACTTAATAATACATAAGTTATATGAGAGAGAAGTTGGTAATTTAAGTTGTCTTTGTTCAAGATAAAGGATATAGGAAACAATGGGGTATTCAAATGCTTATTTGACTTAAAAGCTAAAGAACTTCAGAGTTTAAGTCAACTAATTTTGCCAATGTTGATGACTAAATTATTGCTCTTTGACTCAAATGACACATTGATGATGATGGTTTAATTTTTAGTACAGTTTTAGTGTTCCTCGTTGTTTTCGATATCAATACATATAGTTTCTATGGAGATAACTGGGATCATCACTAGTAAATTACCCTATTCATTAACCATTTAAGGTAGAGAGGATTTATTATGTTGAGAATGCATACAGCTCATTCTATTGCTGAAATCAATTTTTTCCCCAGACAAATGAAAAATTTCCATATTTTTCTTTTATTGTTGCTTTTTGAGTGTTTTTAAATGCTCAACCCATGTATTAAATATGTGTGTACTAAGTGCACTTTCTAATGAAATAAATTATGTTAAAAGAGCTGTTTCTTACAATAGGAAACCTTATGTGTTCTTGGAAAGAGTGCTTGCATGATCTAATGAAGTGCTTTGGATTTGGTGTGGAAACATTACAGGAAAAGAAAATCTGTGCTGTGAAATGGAAGTGGGGTCTACTGCTGAAATTTGTTATATTTGCCCTTATCTTTCTTATGTGTTTATCAGTAGGCATTTGATATAGTCTGTGACAAGATAAAGCTTTAGAACCAGTTTGTAATAGATAAGGCAGACTTTGTGGGATGTCTTGTTAATAGTTAAGTAAGATATTGTGATTTTTAAATTACAAACTGATTTCTTTCCTAGTTTTAAAAAAGTTGATGTTCTGTTCTCAATTTATCTGCTCAACCTGCTCTCTATTCTTCCAGAAAGAGTCCATATTCTTCTGAAAGTGCACTGTTGGTTCATTGTTTTTACAAGTAGGACTGGCAAGCTGATGTTATTACTGTTGCCTTTTAATTTTAGCTGAGCTTTTTAAACCAAATTTGTTTTCAAGTTTTGCAGTTACTATTTCTATTTATAATTATTAAAAAAAAATTTTTAAATACCTATTTGGTTTTTGAAGGATGAGCAGTGCTCATTGCATTAGTTAGTTCTACATTGCTGTACAACAAATTACCCCAAAGCACAATAGCTTAAAACAGACATGTATTGGCTCATGGTTTCTGAGGATCAGGTGTCTTGGGGCAGCTTAGGGGGATGTTTCTGCCTCAGGGTCTCTCATGAAGTTGTAATCAAGCTTTCAGCTAGGGCTGCATTATTGAAGTCTTAAATGGGGCTGGAGGAACCAGTTCCAAGAAGGCTCACTCACATGGCTGTTGGCTAGAAGTCTCAATTCCTTGCTGTGTGGGTCTCTCCACAGGGCTGCCTGAGTGTTTCAAGACATGGCAGCTGTCTTCCTCCAGAATGAGTGATGAGAGAGACACCTAAGCTGGAAGCCACAGTCTTTTATAACCTGGTCTTAGAAGAGATAGTCCATCCTTTTTTGCCCTCATCATACACTGTGGGAGCATACTATGCAGGCAGGGTGTGAATACCAGGAGGTGGAAATCATTGGCGGCCTCATCTTGGAGGCTGCCTTCCACACTTATTTAGATGTTGTAATTAATGCTCATTGGAGGATTACACAGAAAGGTAAGAGCTGGCTTTTGGGGAGGCACAGTGAAAGATATGATTTGATAAAAGGACCTTCTTAGGGAATATTTTTGTTAAATGTGTACTTAAAATATTTTTAAAAATGAGATTCTTTTTATATAGGCAAATAAGGGATGTTTTGGGGGAACAGAGCAGTTTTTCTGTCAATGCTAGATCTTAATCAGCTTGCATTTTTTTTTGTTTCTCTGTGTAAGTGATAATTGTATATGTTTAAAAAATTGTTTTTACAAAATTTTTTTACCATTTATCTACATCCATATAGATACACCATATAATTCTAAATTTAATCTTGTATTTCCCCACCGTTGTGATTATTTACTTAAGGTAGCATGAGGAGTTTTGTTTTGAGAACTTGCCATATAGCATACTTAGAATACATAGAAACAAATATGATTTTTTGTGGAGTTCCAGTCCACTAGGGATCTTGGACTCTTAACAAGAGTATCCCCATTTTTCTCAGCTCCTTGTATAGGATTATATAAGAAAGTGGCAGTGCTGTTAAGCTATTAACCTCTAGATGAACTGGAGATAATCTTGGCTTTTGCTCAAAGAGAATAAGAAAGAGGGCAAGAAAACATTTCATACTCCAAATTAAGATTTGTGAATAAAGATATTTAGGTGCCTTAGTTGAAACAGTAAAAGAGGAATAAAGGAATAACTAGACCTGAAAGAGGAGAAGAACAGGACGAGGATATGAAATATGGTTTGAGTCAGGAAGAGTGAGTGATCTCTAATAAGCTGAGAGCTTCTATATCCTGGCCCTGGATAAGTAAATGAAGCTTTGTTACAATCAGTTATTTTACCAATATGGAAAGAATCTAGTTACAGCAGTATATTCCAGCAAGCTTAATTACAATTCTTTAGAATTAATGGGAATGTTGGAGTAGCCCTATAACTAGGGATTACTCCCTAGAAAACAGATAATATAAATAGGAGTTTTTTCTTCCATTACAAAATGGATATATTCTATTTAACAATCTTTAATCATCATTTAACATGTAACTTGAGGTCCAGAGTTATTTGTGACATAAAACAACGACCGTTCCATTATTTCTGATGATTTTGTGGATCAGAAATATAGACAGGACTCAGCTGGGTGATTCGTCTCTTTCACGTGGTATCTGTGGGGGTCACTCGGTAAACGGCTGGCAGATGAGCTGGTCACAGAGTCCAAAATGGCTTCACTCACTTGTCTGGCACTTTGTTGGACATGGCTGGAAGGCTGGGTTCAACGAGAACTATTGACCAGAGTAGATGCATGTGATCTCACCAGTATGACAGTCTTAAAATGGTCAGGACTTCCAGAGAAAATGTTCCAAGAGAACTAAGTAGAAGCTGTAAGACTTTGTTATGTTTCCCATTGTTGCTGTAACAAATTGCCACAAATATAGTGGCTTAAAACAACACAAATTTATTCTCTTAGAGTTCTGGAA